GGGGGGGGGGGGGGGTGGGGGGGGGGGGATTAAGGCAGAGGTCTGAGGATTTCAGAAGAGCTCCCGAGTGGGGAGTGTCAGGGACCACAGCCCTTCAGTGAAGGAGACCCACAGTGCGTGCTCTGAGCAGAACAGGGACTAGGCCAGCTCATGTGATGGTTGCAAAAGCCTTGTGCTCCATTGGGGACCCTGTGACCCAGCCTCTTTCTCCATCTCTTCCTCCCCTTTTCCAGAGTTGGTACCATTCCCAGGCAGATCACCCTGCACGATGCCAAATCAGCAGCCCCCGGATGGCATCCTGCTAGGACATCAAACCCAGTGGAAAGACTTTTCTAACAATCCGGGGGGCGGGGCTCTCGCCGGCCAACCTTGGGTCACACTCTCGAACCTCAAGCAGTCGCTGAGAGGGGGCTGTGGGTGGCTGTGTCCACCCTTGCACCATGTAGAGAAGAGCAGGTGGTTCTCCCCAGGGAGATGGCTGTGCCGGAGGGGTCTGAAGGCCCGGCCTTATGGAGACAGGGCTCTAGGTGGCAGCCTGGCAAGAGCTGGACCTCTGAGTAAGCGGCAGGGGAGGGGCCTGGACTGTTAGCCCTGGTGGGGGTCTCCTGCCTGCCTAGTCTGGATATGGGTGGTCTCAGCACACAATCCTGCACCAATGACAGAACTGAGCCTCCAGCTGCCACCACACTGATCATCCTGCCAGTGTCTGATGCTGTAAAACCATGACTTACGACCATTCATGGTGCTGCCACTGCCTGGCAGGGGGTATGCTGAGGTTGGGATGCCCATCTGCTCTGTCCACAGCAGGCTCCTACCTGGCCCCTCACCTGCCTGCCTCAGTGAGTCTGCAGCTTGGATGGGGCCTTCCAGCCTTCAGAGTAACTAAGATCAGAACTCAGGTCCTCCATATTTCCTGAGCCCTAGCAAGGTGGGGCCTCCCTACAGCTGTTCAGCTTTGCTGTTCTCTGGTTCCTGGTCTTGCTGTCCACTCTATTTGATTCAATCTCTGGCTCCAATGCCTCTATACCTTCCCCTCATGGTGGCAGGAGGGCTGCTGCAGTTCCAGTCTCATTTCTGAGGTTTCAATTTGCAGGGAAGAGTAAGCGTCTTTCTGTGTAGCTCAGATTGGATGGGCCTGATTCCCAGGCTCAATCCTGAACCTCTATGGTCAGCGAGTGCAGGATGCTGATCGGGTGGGCCTGGCTCACATGCTCCAATCTCAAACCTCACGCAGACAACCTGGGGAGAGATAGATGGGAAGCTCCCAAGCTAAGATCTGGGCAGTTGTTGCAAAGAAGAAGCTTGGATGCTGAGGACACAGGAAGTATGTGTCTCCCCCGAGGATCATCCTCAGATACAAGTGAGGGAAAAGGCTTGGGTAGAACCAAGACAGCCCATTCAGGCTTGCTCAGACAGCAGCAATGGAGCTAGGCCCAGGCCCAGGGTTTGGCTCTAGGGCTGCTCTTCCTGGGATGACCCCTATGGAGCAGCCTGTCCAGAGCAGGCCCAGGCACAGACACAGAGAGCTCCCCACCCCGGGAACTACACCATGATCTTTCTCAGGTATTTTGCAGAAGACATGAGCCACGGGTCCATTTAAAAATCATTTTTTTAATTAATATCATCTTCCCATTTATAGCCAAGTGTCTGCAATGTATAAGGAATGTCGGTAAATATTCCATTTGAAGCTTCTTTGTACATATTTCCATCGATAAATAAACTCTGAATTCACATAAAAAAGTTAAACTTAAATAACTCATATTTCCTTCTCTGGTAACAGGCATATATTGGTAAAATATAAATATTCTTGGACTTCGGCTTTGTTCTAAGTGAGGAGAAGAGTAATTCATCACATGGTACAATTATGGACAGTAAAACCAAGAAATTGTCAGCTGGTGTCCTGGTGTGGACCAGTACTGAGGTGGGAAACAGAAGATTCACATTTGGTTTCCAGGCCACGGTGGGGTAGGAGTGGTGGTGGGGACGCAGGACAGGACAGTTGCTTTCTTTACAGCTCTGATAAAAATAATCTGTTCTGCCTCTGAATTTTAACTTTGAATATATGCTTCTACATTGACTGAATAATTCCATAATCATTTTACTTCAAACTTGGATGCCAACTGACCAAGTATGGCACATAATCCATTTGGAATGAGGCCGGTAGATTCAGAAACTATCACTGGGCTGGCAAAAGAAAGGGAGATGTACGAGGGACAGTGGTGATTTTGGGTCGGCTGGGCTCTTCACTGTGGTCAGGTAGCATTCATCCAGGGCCCCGGGGTGGGAGAATGGCCCCCTGGGGCCGCAGGGCGATCCCTAGTGACCCAGGCCAGGCGTCCTTGGCCTGCGTGGTGAGGGGGGCAGGTGCTTGCTCAGAGCACGCGGGGGATGATGGTGAAGGGCACGGCAGGGCTACTGGCCTCCAGCTCCAAGGCTGTCAGGAAGCACTCGGTGGCTGCCGCGTCGTTGCCCTGGGCTTGGAGGACCTCGCCCAGCCCGTTCCACACCTCGTGAGCTGTGGAGTTCACCTGCACGGCGTCCCGGAGGATCTTCTCTGCCAGGCTGTAGCGGCCCAGCTGGTGAAGGATCAGGGCCTGCAGGGTTGGAGAGAGACAGACAGACCATCAGTCAGTGCTCTGAGCACCTATATCCTGAGTTTTTAGTGAATGCCTGGCCAGTGGGAATGTTACCTTCACAGGCTGGGTGCAGTAAATTCTCAAGTAATTCCTGTGCCTAGGGGCCCCGGCTAAATTAGTTTCTTTCTTTTGCAGTGGGGGGGGTACTGGGGATCAAACTTGGAACCTTGTGCTTGTGAAGCAGGCGGTGGAACCACTGAGCTAAATCCCCAGCCCTGAACTAGTTTCTTGATGCAATTGCTGAAATTCAGACATTTTTTGAATAGTAAAACAACAGTTTTACAATCTGTACCTCATCTGAATACACCCAGGAAGGAACCAATTAGAAGGCCATGGTCTGTACTGACCCAGTGTGACCGACCTGCCAGGTGCCAGCTGACACCTGCTGGCATGGAAGGATATTTGTCTCCTTTTGCTTTTTAGCCTAAAGAAATGTCACTTGTGGGATTCTTATCATAATAGTTACCAGACTCCTTTTCAAATTTGGCCAGAACCTCCTGCCTGAACCATACCCCCAATCTCAATGTCCCCACCTTGCTCCAGGCCATAACAGCTGTCACTGCAGGCTGTGTTGATCCTCAAACATTTGATCTTCAACATGTTTCCAAGTTGCACATCTCCGGAAGTGATGTGTCTGTCGTATCCCATCCAATGGCTGCACTTTTCATACTCAATCTCTCCATGATAGGGAGAGACCTTGAGGTCCTATCAGTTTCTCTGCTGCTTGTTCTAATTTACAGAGATAAACACCTTTCCAGAAAGTGCCTTTTTGTTCTTTTAGATCAGTGGTCTTTCAAATTTTTTTTTAAATAGTGCTGGGAACCTTTGGCAAAATGAAATCTTACTCAGAATAGCCTCATAGTCTGTGTACAAACAGACACAGGGGAACTGCTCTGGGTAGAGGGCAGAGGGGCAGGAGTCCAGGGCCCCCAGGGCTCCTCACGGTGGCTGGGCATAGCCATTTGGATATGCTGCCTTTAAGGCAAATTTCCCCAAGTGGCTGTCACCGGGTAAGAAGATTTAGACTCCTTCCAGGGTTCTCCAAACAGGCTGCAAGTTTATCAGCAATGTTTGTATCACTTGTCTGGCCATGAAGAGTTGTCTCCTCCCTCTTCCTACACTGCTCCTTTATGGGTCCTCTTTGAAGAAATTTAGGTTCTTTCATAACAACCAAGGTTAACTATTTCCTACACTTTTGCCTAGGAGCCTCTTATAGGCCTGATGTTCATCCTCTAGCATACTTTTCTATCCTGTTCTTCAACTAGCGAATTTTCTTTGAATCAAGGTTTTTAGTTTTTAAAGTTAAAATCATTGATAGTTGATGACTTTTTTCTGGGTCATTTCAAGGTTAGAAAATTATCCTTCCAAATTTCCCTGTAGTAGATGACTACTTTACCTCGGCAGGCAGAGAGGGATTTCTGCTACTGTGCTGAACCATACTAGCTAGTACTGCCACTCATCACTTGTGTCGGGCACTGCCTTTGTCATAGAGTGAATTAGGGCAGGAAACAAAAGCTCTATATTATTTTCCAATGAGCTGCAACACCCAGCTTTGTACAAGCATCACACTGTTTTAATTTCCATTATTCCTAATCATGTTTTAACAGGTAGGATGAGTCTTTCCTCTGTGCTCTTTGCTTTTATGTATTTCCTGACAATCTTTCCCTCTACTGTTCCAGACAAATGCTAAAATCATTTGTTCACTCCCCTCGGGAGTCGAATTGTACTTGCATTAGATCTCTCAGTGTTGGTGGAGAATCCTGGCATCTTTACAGCCGTCAGTCTTCCCACCCAGGAATGTGACGTGGCCCTGATTCAGGGTCTCCCAGTACTGAAGCCCAGCTCCTCTCCGGGTGGCGCATGCATGTCCCCACAAGCGTGCATTTCACTCCTGGGCAAGGGACAGCAGGAGCAGAGGCTCACTCTGGGAATGCACCCAGCCTGGAAGTAGGGTGCGGTTGGGGGGCAGTGTCCAGGCCCTGAGGGCTGCTCGGGCTGACCTTTCCCCAGGACGTGTGGCCTTGGTGGTGTCATGAGAAGCAGCCTGACTTCTGAGAGTCACCTGTATCCAAGATGACCTGGGAGGAGCTCCCGTTAAATGGGATACCAAGGGGACCTATGGCCCCAGGCAGGCATGAGGCCTGTGGAGACCCCTCCACTGGGAGGTGGAGAAGGGAGAACCCCAGTTCTGTGAGAGAGAGTCAGGGAGTCTTCATGGGTGAGCAGGGAGACATGGAGGGGGAGAGGAGGAAAAGGAGGAGGAGGAGTCAAGGAACCACAGAGAACCAGTCCCAGGCTGCACAGGGGTTTCTTCCCAGCCCTTTCCACTCATCTCCAAGGAAAAGGGAACTGAGTGTGAGAACAGGGCAGACACCAGGCCTGGGCCTGGACTTGCTACTGGGATGAGTATTGATGCTACTACAGTACCAATCGGAAAACACGTTCCCAGGGTCCGTGCCACAGAGCATTTGATTCCCTGGAGACCCCAAAGCCATTTCACATGGGCATGGCCAGGACCCATGCACACCAGTGTAGGAGACTGGTTCTCACTGCCTTGGCAAGAGGGCCCCCCAATGGATGCCTGTCAGGTGCACAGGTGCTCTACTCCTACCTTACAGGTGAGTAAACTATGGGTCCCAGGCCTCCTGCCCAGGTGGGCAGCTGGTTACTGCTGAACTCATTGCTCCTATCTCCCGAGGCCTGTGAGGCCCCGTGTGGAGTCCAGGGTGGGTGGCAAAGACTCTTGCCCACTGCCCAGGATGGGGCTCTCCCTACCTCGGACCTTTAGAGGAAATGTGACAACTCGCTGTCCTCCCTTTCCGGCTTCCAAGGGCAGGTGGACTAAACGGGCCACTGCCGGGCTACAGACAGCAGGCTGTCAGGTCTAATGAGCTCTGCTGCTTCCTGCCAGGGGAAGTTGTCAGCCCAGCTCCCTCTAAAACATTCTACAGAGCCAGCAGAGGAGGGGGTACGGAGAGGGGTCTCAGCAGTGGCAGAGAGCAGCAGCGTGGAGGGGTCACAAAGGGGGCAGGCATCCTTCAAGGCATGATTCAGGATGTCAAGACACTGAACACAACACACGTGACAGGGGGCTTCTGAGTTGCTTTTGGCAAGTGTGTGACAAGGGATAAGCTGCCATGTGAGGCAGAAGGAGACGTCCTCACTTCCCTGCAGAAGAGAACACTAGGCTCTCTCCTCGGCTCTGCTCCTGGAGAATCAGTACCATGCTGTTTCCTTCCTCTGCGGGGAGCAGGGCCTGCCTGTCAGGCACCATGCTGGACACTTTGCTGGGCTCCTCCATCAGCACCGCTTTTGATACAGCACCAGAAAGTGCAAGTTCTAGTCCAAGGTCACAGGACCAGTGAACACTGAACTGCAGACTGGCCTGCATCTGTCAAGGCCAAAGCCGCCTGCTCCGTTCACTGTCCATGCTGCTGTGTGGCGTTAGGAGGTGAGCCTGTGGTTGTGGAGGAGAGCTCTGCAGGACTCTCTCGTCCCAGTGCACTTGGGTAATAACCCAGCTACACCCAAGCAACAGCAAATGGGTGTCTGCCACGCTGTGTCTCCCCTTGCATCTCTCTGACCACTAATTGCTGATTTTACTCTTTCCTGCGTGATGATGGGGAAATGGCTCCTCTCCAAGTTACAATTTTCCTCTGCTGCCTGGGAAGCACCCTATCTATGGTGGACTAAAGGCACTCTGCCCTCCCTTGGGGGACCACAGGCTGGTGGGGTCTTGTGGATTGGGATAGCTGGGGTCTCCCGTTAGCCAGGAAGTGAGCCAGTGAGGTGTGGAGGCCGGGTGGGTGCTGTTTTCACAGTGGAGCCTCAGCTCGCTCCCTTGTCTCCTCACCCCTGCTGAGGTTCTCAGACAGGGACAGGCACTGAGGCTGGGTGCGGCCTGTTGTGGGGGCTCCAGGGTACAGGGTAGGGGCACGTCTACCCATCGTGCACCTCAGTGCTGGGCAGCTCTGAGCCTCTGCAGCTGTCATGTTTGAGGGCTCCTGCGCCTCCACAGACCTGGGCTTGTATTCCTAAGGTAGGAACAGGCTGTGTTCCCAGGTGACCTTGAGGCTTCCTGAGCAATCTGTTTAGTGGAATTAATTCCTAAAGCTGGAGCTGCTCAGGGAGACAGCACAGACTTGCCAGGGGCTGCCAGTGCAGGCTTGGCAGGGGAATGAAAAATAGGTTTCTCCCAAGGGCTCTGGTGAGCCGAGAGCAGGTTGGAAATCAGTCACGACACGATTGGCTAGAGCAAGCTCCAGCTGGGGTTTAAGCCACTGCAAGAGGATGGCCAAAGGCAGGCGGGGAGTAGGACGCATCTGTCCGTTGGGAGCGATACACTGCCCAGGCCCCTGTGTGCCCTACCTGGCCTGGGACTAGCTCTTCTGCACTAGTGTTGACATTCCTGTCAGTCCTACAGGCCCTGCTCTGTCTTGTCCAGAGATGGAAGCCTCGCTCCAGAGGCTGCATCTGACTGTCCACCCCGCCAGCCGGACCAAACCCTCTCTTGGTTTGGCCAGGCCGGCAGTCAGCCAATGCTGTGCCGAGCCTCCCTGATCTCCAACCTAGTCAGCCTGGGGCTCCCTGTTGGAGTTCTAGTCCTCCAACCCAAACCCTGGGGCTCCTCTTTCTCCCGTGGGCAGCCCTCCCGAGAGGCGCCTGGCTCCAGCTCCCAGCCCTGCTGCTCTTTACCTTCATATCAAACAACAGAAAACCACTGAGTGAGGAGCGAGGGTAAGACACAGGCCTGCTCTCAAAGAGCAGTGAAAGTCCCTGACAGTGCAGAGACGTTACTCTGCCAGGTTGTGCCCTCTCCCCTTGGCAGGCGGCGCCTCCTTCCATCCTTGCCCACCTTGAAGAACCAGTGCTACTGCAGGTCAGGTTTCACAGATATCAGGACCGACTGAGCCCCTGTGGAGCTGGGACCCCAACCTGAGCTGTGTGTTTGGGCATCA